GGGCCCCCCCCCCCGGATCCGCCATAGTGTAGTACACACTTTATTGAAAGATGGCAGTGTACACTGTGTATTAATGTAAACCATTTTGAGGTCAGTCTGACGTTTTAATTTCCCGCACTCGAATCTGTAATTCTCAAAGATATCTTCTCTAGAGGCATCACTGTGATCCAAAATTACAATTTCGCGGGTCAAGTCTGCAGTCTTTCGAAAAAAGTTGAATTCGTTGTGCTACCCTTTCTTGTTGGGTATTTATTGGGGTCAACCCAGTTGTCCGAAACCCAGTTGTCCGAAACCCAGTTGTCCGAAACCCAGTTGTCCGAAACCCAGTTTTCCGAAACCCATTTTTCCGAAACCCAGTTCTCCGAAACTCAGTTCTCCGAAAATTAAAAAATTAAATTTCTTAGTAACGAATCTTGTCGCAACCTCGCGAATCAGGACAGCATAACATTGGTATCACGTTGACATCGGTTAGCCCGGTCAATAATGGGTCCGAAAGTTCACGATCATATATATATTCTTACTAGATTCTCGGCACATAGACTTATATGGACATTCTACAAATTTTGAACCGCATTGTCCAGGACGAATCGCACTCCTTCTTGTTGAAAATTCAAGACTGCCGCCAACATTTTAGACAATTATCACAGTCGGAGAGAATATTCTGGCGAAAGGAACATCTATCTCATTAGAATAACGTATGGACGTCCGTGACAATTATATTCATTTGATGATTTTTTTCATTCCCTTTTCTCAATAAAATATGGTTAATTATGTTTTCCAATATCAATTGATAATATTTCTACCCTGAAAAATATCTAAAAAGAAGATTTTGGTTGTTCAGTACCACCCATTGTTAAGATTTCGTCCAAATTTTCGATAAATCAATAAAATATGCTCATTTCGTATAACTTATATATGTGGCATATATACATATCAGATGTCTATCCTTTTTTCATCATAATATAAGAGGTTTGTATGTTTTAGTAGAAACGTATTCCTTTCCAAACATTTAGATTTAAGAATTTCTCCCATTGGTGATATTGTTCAAAATCAAAACTGTGTTTTTGCGATATATTGAACTGTTGAAGTAAGTGTGTAATAGTTTGTAGTAGAGCCAAGATTTGATCTGTATCATGTACGTACCCTGCATAAAAAAATTCGTTTTTAGTGTGCAATAGATGTTAACCATTAACTATTGCAGAATCAAAAAAAGTTTTGTGAAAAATTAGGATAATGTTTAAAAATTATACACCGGACAATAAATAACTACTCAATGCAGACAGGGAGTTTTAATTGCCCAAAAACTGAGTATCAAAATGCATTTGTATATCTTTAGTATCTTGCATGACTCGTTCATATGAATTCTTTATTTCTACCTCGTTCCCAATACATTCTGAGACAGTTCAACCTTTGCCCCACGTCCTGTTCGTCGTTAGTACATTGTCACTCGATATAATTGCCACGCGGTCCTAACTTCGACCGTTAATTTGAATTTTTGACGTACCGGATATTTGAAAATCAAGGATTACGAGTCTCATACTGCACCGTTTTTCTTCAAACTTGTTCCATTCAAAGCATGACAAAAATCTCTTTCTGGTGGTACGTCATTATCTTAAACAGAGTTCCTACTTCCAGCGTAATTTTGGTCCCCAGCTGTAAGAAGGCCTTCTAACAGCTGGGGAGTGTGGACCAAAACGCTGCTAGAACGAGAGACTCTTTACAATAAAGTAATGCACTGACAGAAGTGCAATTTTGTTTTGCTTTTAATGGTATAATGGAAGAAAAAAGGTGCAGTATCAGACTCGCAATCCTTGATTTTCAAGCATCTGGTAGGTCAAAAATTCCAATTAACGGTCGAAGACCGCGTGAAAGGGTAGTAAGTAGACCCCAAACGGTTCTAAGTACTTCCAATCCGTCCATACAGTTTAAGCCCGTTCTCGAGAGCGTAGTGAGAACTAGTTTGGTGTGATAATAGGGTCAGATACTGAAAGTGTAAGCATGGACGACCTCCAACCGTCCAATGAATACAGTGGGTTCAGAATCAGAACGCGTTTCAGACGGCGTTCTGAAACAGCTCACTATAGCTTATTCCTTAAATTTTGGCCTGAATGCTTTGTACGTTGAGAGACGGGACGGGAAACGACAAGTGTGACAGCGCCATTAGCATTAGGCGCACGATGGGCACATTTTAACTTGGTATGAGTAGGGGGTTATTTATGAGGATCAATAGGACTCAGTCGGATTCAAAATGCAATTTTTTATTTTATCATTGGTTGCATTTTCTGTTCCTGAAGAATAACGTGGATTGCATATGTGTCCCCGATTTGTGGGAGTTACACCCCAGTCACATTTCCAACGGCCACCGTGCGGTCTATCATTT